GTGGTAGTGGTAGTGGTAGTAGTAGTAGTAGTAGTAGTAGTAGTAGTAGGAGGAGGAGGAGGAGGAGGAGGAGGAGGTGGAGGAGGGGGAGGAGGGAGAGGAGGCGCAGGAGGAGGAGGAGGAGGACCCGTGTAAACCAAGTACTCATCGGCAATGTTGGAATACGCCCTGCCTCCAAGCTCCCTCTTCACATTGCCCATACAAGGATTCATCTCCACAGGGATCCGCTTCGTTTGGAGGTAACCGTTTGGAGTTCCTGAAGCGTGTCGAAGCACCAGTCTCGGGACTCGAACGCAATCAACAGAACTCGTGCGATTTAGCGATGTGGAGTCGTGTCAGAATGCAATTCCTGTGATTTCAACAGCGCGAATCAACAACTGTCGCGCCCTCACAATGCTGAGTCCTTCCGGAACACCTTCTGTGGAACGTTGACCATGGGAATCTTTGAAACCTCTGCAAAGTCTGAAGAAACAGATGCGCGGCGCTAAGGCGAGAGCCACACTTTGAAAACGACCCGCCCTCAATCCGTGAAGCTGTTGCACAAGTCTAGAAAGGAAGTGCGCAGCGCTAAGGCGAGAGAAACATTTTGAAAACGACCCTTGAAGCTGTTGCCAACTTTTCAGCTTCAGGGCCGGCCATCAGTGGTGAGACAGGCGAAACGCCTGGCCCGCCAGGAAAAGGAATGCAGAAGGAGGAGGGGGACCAGTGTAAGCCCAAGAGTCATCAACGATGTTGGAGTAAACCCTCATTCCCAGCTCCCTCTTCATAGGCCCCTACAACGGTTCATTTCCATTGAGGGAACTGCCTCGTTGGAAGACAACCGTTTGAAGACCCTGAAGCATGACAAAACATTGTTCTCGGGATTCCATCGCCACGGATCAACCTGATTGTTGCGTCTTGACGATCCTGAATCGTGTCAGAACGCCGTACCTGGGACTTCAACCCAGAGAATCAATGTAACTGTTGCGCCCGCATAATCCTGAATCCTTCCAAAACGCCATTTCTGGTACGCTGATGATTGGAATCCGTGAAACGCTTGCAATTTTTGTAAACGAGTGTGCCTGGCGCTCAGGCGAAAGCCACATTTTGAAAAGGAACCGCCTTCAATCCGTGAAACTGCTGCCAAATTTTCAGCTTCAGAGTCATAAGTGGTGCAGACGTCTCAGGCGAACCGACCAGTTCGCCCTAAAACTGGCTTCGGGGTGCGACAGGAGAAGTTATTTATACATAAATCAATGGAGCAGGAGGAGGAGGAGGAGGAGGAGGAGGAGGAGGAGGAGGAGGAGCAGGAAGCGCGGCAGTAGAAGCGGCGAGTAGGGGTAGGAGGGGGCCTCGAGGATGAGGTATTGGCCGGCTCCCGTTCAACGAGCTCCGGTCGTGGGAGAGGCCCGCGCTGGCCGCCAGAGGAGGCCGAGGAGGCGAGGAGGAGGAGGAGGAGGAGGAGGAGGCAGGAGGAGGAGGAGGAGGAGGAGGAGGAGGAGGAGGAGGAGGAGGCGGCGGGAGGAAACAGCGGCGGCGGCGGGAGGCGGCAGGCGGTGGAGCCGGGGGTTGGTGCAGTGGGCGCTCTACGTTTCTTGATAAGTGCCTGGGGGGCGCTGGCCCCGCCGACAGCTCCAAAAATCGACCGCCGCCGCGGGCCAAGCCCGCGCGTCGAGTGCGCTGGCGCTGCCGGCGCGCCGGCGTGGCGGAGTTGACCTCCGACAGGCCCCCCCCCTTCGCTTATTGAGAACTGCGGAGCAGGGGGGGGAAGGGGCAGGCAGGAAGGAGGCGGTCCCACCTCGTGCCGGCTCGGCTGATGTCCCCGCCCTCTGCGATCTTCCCGCCGCCGCTTTTGTGGTTCAAGTTCTCGTGGCGTCTGACATCGCGTGGAGTGGTTCCTTCACAACGCGCGCGCGCGTGGCTGCTGGGCCCTGGCAGCTGGGAGTCCAGGCTGCGGAAGCGCAAGCGCGTGGAACACCCCTTCCACCTCTTACCAGAAGATTGAGGGAGCGTCCCATGCCGACTTGTTTTAGTCCGCGTCCGCAAACATGCTTTCCACCTCAGCCATCTTCCAGGCCGCATCCCAGGAACACGCGTTCTATCTAATGCTTTAGGGCTTTGCGTGTCCCCACCAGCCCATCCAGGAACGATGCCCAGAGGAGCTGCCCTTGTCAGGGGACCGTGACATCATGTGGATACCTCGGGGAGCCTCAGTGAACTAGAGGCCTCTTGGATGCCTCTCGTCGTGGCTTGAAATGTTTCCTGGGGGTCTCTTGGTGGCCTCTTAGGGCGTCTTGGGAGCCTCTTGGGGGCTCTTGCGAGCCTCTTGGGGCGTCCTGGTGGCCTCTTGGGGGCCTCTGGGGGTTCTCTTGGGCCTTCTTTAAGCTCTCTTGGAAACCTTGTAAGCCTTCTTGGGATCATCTCGGAGGACCCCTCTCTCGAGCCCCCGAGATCGCCTCTTGGGACCGTCTTTGGGCGCTCGTGGGGCGCTCTTAGGCGCTCTTGGGGCAGGCCGTCTTGCAGCCCTTTCGTGCCCCTCTTGGGGCCCTCTTGGGCCCATTTGGAGCCACATTTTTTGCCTCGGGATGACATCGGGAGCGAAAAAGGCCAGAATGCAAGAATCATGGATTTCCCAACGGTTTTGGACGGATTCGGGCCTCTTGGAGGCGTCTTGGGGGTCGGAGCATGTTGGAAGCCATCCCGAGTGATTTTTTCGCGCTTTTTTGGGGGCCTCTTGGAGGCGATCTTGCGCTCTCCGAGGCCCTCTCGGAGCCATCTGGGCCACTCTCGGACGCTCTGCCGAGCCGCGGGGCGCCCCGTGGAGACCCAGGGGTGGGGGGGGCAGGGGGACGGGGCAAGACGCCCTCCCCGCCCGCAGGCCGTCTCGCCCACTCCCACCCGCCCTCCTAATACATCCGCAGCACCCGAGCCTGGCCCGAGCCGCAGCATACAGTCAACGCGCCCAGTAAGGACGCGCGCCTTCATCTAGGATACCCTTGCGTCCTTGCCTCTGTGGCCCGTCCTTTGCCGTTTTCGCTGGTCGCCCGCCGCCCAAAAAATCCCAGCTTCGGCCTCCAAGGGTTTTGCGTCCTTACCCCGCGTCCTTAATATACGCTTTGACTGTAGTCAGCAGTCGTCTTTGGATGGGCAGCTGCTGGGGGCGAATCCGCCGCCGCCGCCGCCCGCCGCCGCCGCCGCGCCGCCGCCTCCGCCGCCGCCGCCGTCTCCGCCGCTGTCCGCCGCGCCTCTGCCGCCGCCCGCCGCCGCCGCCGCCGCGCCGCCGCCGCCGCTGTCCGCCGCCGCCGCCGCCACCGCGCCGTCCGCCGCCGCCGCCGCCGCTAGATAGCAAGCCGTCTAGCTTACTCCCACCCGCCCTTCCAGCACAGAAGTAACACCCGAGCCTCAGCGTGTTCAGCGATCGTCTTCGGATGGGCATAGCTACTGGGAACCAACACCGACCCCATGTGCGCGGCATGCTGGGGCGAGGTGCGTCACGCGTGCCAGGCGCGCCACGCGCGCCAGGCACCCCTGGGTCCCGAGCGTGCCAGGCACGCCTGGTGTGCCAGATGCGCCACGTGCTCCACGAGCGCCAGGTGTGCCGCATACTCCAGCCGGGCCAGGTGCGCCACGTTCGAGGCACGTACAGAGTGTATCAGGTGCTCCCGTGAACGTGACAGTGCACATCGGGGCACATGTCGGCCCCCACCATCCTTGTCAACACCAATGCCCATCATTGTGTCTGGTGTGCCTGCGCACAGCAGCCCATACGCCACCACCCCCGCCGTCCCTGTCAAAAACCACTTGACAGTAATCGCGGGGTGGCCGCGCGTGATCCAGATTTTGCCGCGAGGTGCATTTTGCATAATTTTCTGTCTGGGGCGGTGGCCCTGCGCACAGCAGGCAATATGCTGGCCGGCCCTGTCCAAAAGTATACAAAGTGATCGCGGGCCTCACACTCTGTACCGTGCAACACTCAAGACTCAAGACTTTGGCCCACTCTGTACTTGTATTGTTTTTCGACAGGGATTGTGGTGGGGTGGCCCGCATCGGGTTGGTTGTGCATGCTCCGAATTTGGAGGCAGAGTGTGTTTTATAGTATTTTTTGGTAGGGATGGTCGGGGAGATGATCATAGGGTCGGCATCGTTCCCGGTTGGCTGCCGGTTGCCTGGGAGAGGGGGCGTATATCAACAGGGAGCAGTGATCAAGACACCTCTCTCAGACGCAAACTGTTTGACTCACCCCCACCCGCCCTCCCAACATATCAGTAGCACCCGAGTCTCAGCATGTCGCCTAGGCGCGCCACTCATGCCCTGTGCGCCACGGGTTCCAGGTGCACCAGGCACCCTGGAGGGCCAAGCGTGCCAGGCGCGCCAGGTGCGCCGGGGAATCACGCGGAGGACACCTGCGGGGCATCGCAGGCAGCTGCCCGAAAGCTTTGCGCAGACGGGGCAGCGCTGACGGGACAGTTGCAGCGCACAGTGTGTCGGGTATCGTTTTCTGACAGGGACGGCGCGGCAGGCACTTTGCCGGCATCCCCGCCGCCTCCATGTAGATGCACAATGACAGGCATGGTGGGCCTGCGTGCAGTAGGTAACGTGCCGGCCCCCCCGCCGTCCCTTCCAAACACCAGTGCAGAGTTGTCGCGGGGTGCCCGTGCACTTGGTCCAGATCTGCAGGCAGAGTGCCGCCGCGTGCCCCTCGGTTGTGGGTCAGAGTTCTCAGGGATGTTTCTTGGGGTTTCTTCAGAGCGCTCTCGGGGGTCTCTTGGGACAAGTTTTGGGGGCCCTTGGGGGCCTCTTGGGGCCTCGTAGGGGGCTCTTCGGGGCCTCTTGGGGCCCTGGGAGCCCCTCGGGGCCGAGGGCTCGAAATGTCCGTTGGGGTCCCTCAACTGGGCTCCCTCTTGGAGCCGTCTTTGGGGCCTCTTGGGCTGTCTTGGACGCCTCTTGGGCCGTCTTGGGGTGATCTAGGAGGCCTCTTGGTCCGTCTTGGGGCGATCGTGGGGGCCTCTTCGGCTGTCTGTGAGCGTCGGGAGCCCGAAAGGGCGAGAACGCCGAAAATCTTCAACAACCTAAGGACAACCAATGATTTTGGCCAGTTGGGGCCTGCAGAGAGGTGTCTTGCAGGCCTCTCGGGGCGTTTTGGAGGCCTCGTGGGCCGTCTTGGGACCATCTTGGGCATCTTGGGGCGATCTGTGGGCGTTTCTGAGCCCTGCCGCATGCTCCATCCGCGTCAGGCGCACCACCACGTGCGCAGCGCGCGCAGAGTGTGCCAGGTGCGCCAGCACACGTGGGGTGCATGTCGGGCCCCAAAAGTCTTGGTCAAAGCCTGCTGTGAAATGGCGGCGGGGTGTCAGCATGGCGTACTGTGAGTGTGTGTGTGTGTGTTTGTGCGTGTTTGATTGTGCACCAACAATCGCATTGCATGGCTTTTGCCAGGGATGGTAAGCCCCCGCGCACCAGACAAGACGCCTGTCAAATCATCTTGGCGAAGGGCCTAAAACTATGCAGTTGCGAGTACCGTCGTTGTGAATACCGCCTTCGGTAGATCTCCGTATGGGGCCACGAAATGTGTGAGTGGTGTGCCGAAATGGGTGGGGTGGTCACCTGTGGACACCGCCACTAGGGCCTTCGCTGGAGCTCCCATGGGGCCACGAAACGTGTGAGGAGTATGCCGAAATCGGTAAGACGGCCGCACGTGGACACCGCCACTTGACCCGAAATGGGTTGGCCAGCCGCATGCGGACATGACCACTGGGGCCTTCGGTGAAGCTCCCTATCGGGCCACGAAGCGTGCAAGGGGTGTACCGAAATCGGCGGGGCGGTCGCATGTGGTACACCCCTCTGGGACCTTCGGTGGAGCTCGCTATGTGGCCGTGAAACGCGTGAGGGGTGTGCCGACTTTGTTGACATGCAGAGGAAAGAGGCAGGGATGGGCGGAGGAAGGAGGAGGGTGAGGAGGAGGAGAGAAAAAGAGTGACGCGTGGCGCCGTCTCTTCAACGCGATGACCCAGCACCACAGCGATGCGCTGGAAAAAGACTGCAGAGTGATCGTGGGGTCCCCGCGCATGGTCCAGTATCGTTTTGCTGCAGAGTGCACTTTTGCATTGTCTTCTGACAGGCGCGTGCGTGCCCGCGTACGCCAGACAACGTGCCGCCACTGCTGCACCAGCCCGCGCGGCTTTTCTTCGGATCAAGGGGCGGGCCGACAACGCAAAGCGACATCGGGCGAGAACATGCCAGCACCCCCGCCGCCCTCGTCGGCAAAACAATACAGAACTACATCGGGGGGGCCCGCGCACGGTCTTGCGCCACGCAGAGCGTACTCGGTACTGTCTTGTGGACCGAAGGCGGCGGGCCCGCACTCGCCAGGCAGTGCGCTGGCACCCCCGCCACACCGCTTTTGTTGACAGGGGCGGTAGGCCCGCAATGCGCCAGGCAGCATGCCGGCACCGCCGCCACCCCTGTCAGCATACAAGACGGTGATCGCGGGGGGCCCCGCGCATGGCCCAAGGTTTTGCCACACATGATGGGCCAATTTTCCACCACTGCTAAAGGTGGGACGGGGGAGGAGGGAGGATGGGGAGGTCCTCCTCCTCCTCCTCCTCCTCCTCCTCCTCCTCCTCCTCCTCATCCTCATCCCTTTCCCACCTGTGGTAGTAGTGGTGGAACATGCATGTGCCCATCAACACAGTGTATTCTGTATAGTTTGTCGATGCGGATGGTGGGGGGTGTTGTCATTGGCCCTGGCTTGCCGCCCGCAAGCCGCGTCTCGCTCACTCCCACCCGCCCTCCCAACACAGAAGTAGCACCCGAACCGCAGCGTGTTCATGGTAGTCTGATGGGCCGTGGTAAAGACCCTAAGAAGAGGTTGGAAGAGAAAACGCTCTAAGCCACACCCTCAAGGGCTGGTGGGACACTTTTTCCGGGCCACCCCTCGGATACGTGTTCTTTTCAGGGGCCGTTGTTCTACATGTCCGTGCTACCTAAGACCTCCGCTGTCGTTTTTTTTTTTGAGTGTGTGTGTGTGTGTGCAACACGGGGTCTCCTGAAGTCCCCACCCCTTCCGAGGGGCATTTTCTCATTCTCACCGCGGGCTGCTTTCTGATGGCTCCGAGGTCCGAAAGCGGCTTCCAGAGGCTGAGCATGCAGAGCACTTTCATGTTTTGATTTTCCCCGGACTCTGAATGTCCAGGCCCAACATCGGCGTCACCCCAACATACTCATACTATATGTGCGTCGCCCCCCCAGGGGCGATGCGCGCACCGAGAAATCTTACAGTACTGCGCCGTGGCGGGCGCTTTCTGGCCACACCGCTCGGGAAGCTATATACTACAGGATGGGTATACTATATAATGGACTCGGACGCGCACCTCCAAGGATAACATAATAGTTAGGGGGGCAGGGGTAGGGTTCGCAAGTGGCCCCCTACAGCACTAGATGTCTTTTCCGCGAGCGAAGAACGGTATAACATAAACTTTCCGCCGTCGGGGACACCTGCCCCTGGGCGGCTGGAAAGTTTATACCCCTACGGTGCCACCGTAAGGGTATTAACTTTCCAGCCGCCCAGGGACCGGCGCCAGGAGTGCACGAAACGTAGCCTCCCGGAGGCCCGCGCTGCTTCCCTGGGATGCGGCGGTGGCTCCCCGAGGCGCCGCCACAAGGGGGTGCGCGTACGCCGCTCCTGGACCCCAGGATTCCTCCCCCTCCTCCTCCTCCTCCTCCTCCTCCTCCTCCTCCACCTCGTTCTCCCCCTCCCCCTCCTCCTCCTCCTCCTCCTCCTCCTCCTCTGGCCAGGATCGGTGTAGATGTATACCCGGACATCTGGCGCCCGACCTCGACCAATTCCTTGGGGCCTGGGCCGGTTTTTCATCCCGAATCCTTTCTTGACGGTCCCGAGGCCCGTCAAGGGCCCCGAGAGGCCGAAAACGATGAAAGGCCGCCGCCTCCACTTGGCAGAGACTCCAGGTGTCTGGGTATCTCGCGCCCTCTGACAGACGGTTTTTCAGGGGTCCCCCGATAACCCGCTTTCTCGGGCCGGCACCCTCCCCTCCCCCCTCCCCAGATAATCTAATCTTGTTGGTTGCGCGGGTCCGACGGGGGTGCGCAGTGCTGGTGCGCGCGGACATGCGTGGGGCTGCCCAATGCGAGGAGGTTAAGTCATCGGCCGTCCCCCCCCAAACCTGGATAGCGCGGGTTGTCGCCGAATGATGAAACACTTTGCCTGGCGAAGGACCCAACCATCTGCAGTTGCGAGTACCGTCGTTGTGCGTACCGTCTTCGGCTGTGGGCTACGAAGCGTGTGAAAGCTGTGCCGATATGGAGCGGGGCGGCCATGCGGACGCTTGAACTGGGGCTTTAGATAGAATAGGGCCACGAAGCGTGTGTGAGGTGTGCCGAAATGGAGGGGGTCCATGGGGCCACAGAGCGCGCGAGGGGCCTGCCGAAATGGGCGGGGCGGCCGCAGGCGAACAGGGCCACTGGGGCCTCAGGTGGAGCTCCCCATGGGGCCACGAAGCGTGTGAGGGGTGTGCGAAATGGGGCGTGGCGGCCACATACGGGGCTGCCAAGCGTGTGAAGGGTGTGCCGAACTGAGTGGGGCGGCCGCATATGGTACACCCCCTGAGGCTTTAGGTGGAGCTCCCCATGGGGCCACGAAGCGTGTGAGGGGTGTGCCGACATGGGTGGGTCGGCCGCATGTGGTACACCCCCTGGGGCCTTCGGAGGAGCTCCCTGGGGCCTTCGGTGGAGCTCCCTGTGGCCTATGGGGCCACGAAGCGTGTGAGGGGTGTACCGAAATGGACATGCGGAGGACAGAGGCAGGGATGGGAGGAGGGGGCAGGACGATGGGAGGAGACTCGCGGGGCGCTGTCTCAGATCGAAGACCCAACATCACAGGATGGTTGGGAAAACTGTGGTTCGGCGATTTCGTGGGCCGTTCTCGTTTTGATGTCGTTTCGCAGCAGAGGCAGAACGGAGACAGAGCGAGGGAACGCGAACGCAACACGAACACGAGGAACAGCGTTTTCCGCTCGAGCCCTGTTGTGAGCCATCTCCTGCCAACAGGTCGGCTGGGGCAAGCTCGATGCCTGTGCCCCTGCCGCCACTGGACGTGCTGACGCTCGGCCTGGTGCCCGCGCGCCAGGCGCGGCCCTCGGCGCCGCGGCCGCGGCCGCGGAGTAGCCCCGCGGGCCCGCGCCCGCCGCCGCTCTCCGCTCTCCGCCCGCCTTCCGCCCTCTCCGCCCCCCGGGGGCCTGCGCCCCCCCCCCCCCGCCGCTCTCCGCCCTCCGCCCGCCTCGGCTCTCCGCCCCGCGGGCCTGCGCCCGGTCTTCTGACGCACCCCCGAGGGGCTGGATGTGTAGAAGGAGGAGGGGGAGGAGGCGGATGAGGAGGAGGAGGAGGAGGAGGAGGAGGAGGAGGAGGAGGAGGAGGGGGATGATGATGATGATGATGATGATGATGATGATGATGATGATGATGATGATGATGGTGATGATGGTGATGATGATGATGATGATGATGATGATGATGATGTGGTG